GATGTATCTAACAACTTTTTCATTGTGCTCTGTTCGGTGCTTGTTTCATCCAGGTACTGAATATACACAGCTTCCACGTTTTACTTTTTTATGCGTTTTATGCTGTGTAACAGCAGTACAAAACTCATATTGTCACGGGGTTGTTTTTGTGTGTGTGTGTCCACAGCAACTTGTCCGCAACTTTTAACTCGGGAATCACAAAAGCTAGAAGCTGAAAATTTAGTGGAACGTTCCTCACCCACGTGTGACCCCACAGATTTAAATGCAGCTTCCCCGTACCCGCGGGTAACGCGTACGGCCCAGTGAAAGTTTTTTACGGGTAAATTAATATCTCGGGAACTACGGAGTCTTGGAGGCTGAAGTTTTAGGGTAATGATCCCCTGCCCACCCTCGACCTTGCCCATTCAAACTCAGTCTTCTCTTACCCGCGTGTAACACGTACGGCCTCGTGAAATTTATTCACGGGCAAGTTAATATCTTGGGAACCACGGAGTCTAGGAGGCTGAGGTTTTGGGGTAATGACCCCCTGCCCACGCCCAACTTTGCCCATTCAAAATTAGCTTTCCCGCACCCGCGGGTACCATCTACGACCTCGTGAAAATTTTGGCGAGTAAACTGTTAACTCGGACACGGAAAGATATTCATCCTTCAAGACTCGTGAAAATTTTGGCGGATAAACTATTAATTCGGGAATCACGGAAAGATATTATCCTTCAAGGTTTCATATTCAGCTTTCATGCGCTGGTGCGTGAAATTTTTAACTGTTTTTCAATGTTTGAACTATTTTTGCATGGAATAAATTGCAAAGCAGTGAAAATCATTAACAGGTAATCGTTCGATTGGCTGAATTGCACAAAACGCATGATCGCACCGTCTAGTCTGGTGCGCATTGCCATTTATTTTTTTTTTTGCTGCTGTTGACGTAATTACCGTTTGACGTAAATTGGATTTCCGTACATTCGCACTGAAGGAGAATAACATTGCAGAGGTTGAAGATTACGTTCTGGTTAACAAGATGGATGGATTATCGCTTAATGCTGCTAGTGTTCCTCAGCGATCGTCCGGTGATGGTGGCACATATTTTGCAGCAAAACGGCGGCTTGAAAACATTGGTGAATTGTTCAGATTCTCCATTAATTACACCGATTTTCCAAAGGTATGATATTTTTTGGATTGAAAAAAGTCTGTTTTGTGGATTAAGAAGGAGAAGACATCATTCTGCGAGCACTTGCGGAGTAAGCTGAGTTTTTGAGGCCTATTATTCGATGCTTTTTAGAGCTCAGATATGCTCCATTTTGAGTATAGTTTTATTTCAGGCGGAGAACAAATCGGACAACCAGTGTTTTTCACTTGTCTCAATCGGGATTGATAAGCCGATTGTAAGTTTCTCAAATTTTGTATAAGGCTTTATTATTTACTGAAATAATTTGATAACTTAAAACGAC